TTAGTTAACTAAGCCCAGTTAACTAAATCCTACTAATTTAAGTTTAAAAACGCTTTTATATTTATTATTTACGCATACTAAATTAGTTAACTAAATTTAGTTAACTGAGCCTAGTTAACTAAATTCTATTAATTTAAATTTGAGAATGCTCTTATACTTATTACTTACGCGTACTAAACTTAATTAACTAAATCTTATTAATTTAAATTAAAGAACGCTTTTATACTTATTACGTACACGTACTAAATTTAATTGACTAAAGCTTATTAATTTAAATTTAAGAACGCTTTCATGCTTAGTACTTATGCGTACTAAATTTAATTAACTAAACCTACCTAACTAAATTCAATCAATTTAAGTTTAAGAACGCTTTTATACTTATTACTCACGCGTACAAAATTTACTTTACTAAATTTAGTTAACTAAGCCCAGTTAACTAAATCCTAATAATTGAAATTCAGCTACGCTTTTATACTTATTACTTACGCGCACTAAATTTGAGTATCTAAATTTAGTTGACTAAGCCTAGTTAACTAAATCCTACTAATTTAAGTTTAAAAACGCTTTTATATTTATTACTTACGCATACTAAATTAGTTAACTAAATTTAGTTAACTGAGCCTAGTTAACTAAATCCTATTAATTTAAATTTGAGAATGCTCTTATACTTATTACTTGCGCGTACTAAACTAAATTAACTAAATCTTATTAATTTAAATTTTATACTTATTACTTACGCGTACTAAATTTAATTGACTAGATCTTATTAATTTAAATTTAAGAACGCTTTTATGCTTATTACTTATGCGTACTAAATTTAATTAACTAAACCTACTTAACTAAATTCAATCAATTTAAGTTTAAGAACGATTTTATACTTATTACTCACGCGTACGAAATTTAATTATCTAAATTTAGTTAACTAAGCCCAGTGAACTAAATCCTAATAATTTAAATTCAGCTACGCTTTTATACTTATTTCTTACGCGCACTAAATTTAATTAACTAAATTTAGTTGACTAAGCCTAGTTAACTAAATCCTTAAATTTAAAAACGCTTTTATACTTACTAATTTCGCGTACTAAATTCAATCAGCTAAATTTAGTGAACTAAGCCTAGTTAACTAAATTCTATTAATCTGAATTTGCGAACGCTTTAACTAAATTTAGTTAACTGAACCTTGTTAACTAAATCCTTTTTAATTTAAATTAAAGAACGCTTTTACACTTATTACTTAAGCTTACTAAATTTAATTAACTAAATTTAGTTAACTAAGCCTAGTTAACTAAATCCTATTTAAGAACGCTTTTATACTGACTACTTACGCGTACTAAATTTAATTAACTAAATCTTATTAATTTGAATTTAAGTACGGCTTTATACATATTACTTACGAGTACTAAATTTGATTAACTTAATTTAGTTAACTAAGCCCAGTTAACTGAATCCTAATAATTTAAATTCAGGTACCCTTTTATACTTATTACTTACGCGTACCAAATTTAATTAACTAAGTTTAGTTAACGAAACCTAATTAACTAAAACCTATTAATTTGAATTTAAGGACGCTTTTATACTTATCACTCACGCCTACTGAATTTAATTAACTAAATTTAGTTAACTAACCCTAGAATTTTTATACGGCATATTGAAATTTTAAATATGCCACTTTGTAGAATAGAGAAAGCGGCAATCTGATTGTGCAATTTGTTTTAAAATCCCACTGCAGATAAAGTCTGGATTTTGGGAGAATACGTGTTTTCCGAATATTCTCCAGGAATAATGAATTGCAAAAACTTCTATAAGCCATTTTCTTAGTTACCTAAATGCTAAAATTTGTCCTCATTTAATCGATTTCGTACCTCTTACCGTTACCGAGATTCCTTTGATAAAAGTCGAACACAAGGTTATGTATGGGTATATGTGTATATTCATGATGACAAAAGCCACATATGAGTCGAATGACAGCATAACTGAATAAGTACGAGTAACATTGATGTTTTATATAATGCAATGATTGATCTCACAATAATATTATGCAATAAGAATGTTCACTCACAAAGTTCCATGATATCAGAAAAATCATAACGATCAATTAAGATGCTGATAAAATGAACTGAAAGGTTAAATCGTCTAACGTCTTCATTGAGAAAATACTACTTGTGAGCAATAACGAGCATCTTTTGTAGAATCCGTAAAAGCACCTCAAACAGATGGGATTACATTGTGCAATCGATTAACTTTACATCTGTAATCCGTTTGCTACACTCCTTGCTACAAAACGTACATGGTTCAATGCTTAAGGGAATATCCTACAAATACGTACACATTGGGCAGGTATCATTTAACATTTGTCGAAAAGTATTAAATGCTCAGTTAGTCCAAGGGCGTCTTATTGAAAAATGATTGTAACGAATCTGCATTAAATCAGGCCAAAGATTGTGTCGCAATTTTTTTAAACAATTTTAAAATTTATTTTTCTCAATTTACAGGCCTCGTAAGCCATTCAACATTTAAAATAGGGCAATGTATGATATTTTCGATCCTGAAAAACAATATGAACAAGCGAAAATGTTGATGCTACCAATGTGGATGACTGTCATATTCCGACAGGTTCCTAAATATTCTTCCAATATCTACCAACCCTTTAGCGTGTACTGTTATTGTAAACCTTGGTTTCTTAACTGTTAACCAATCAGTAAAATCCAGTAAGCGATAGGGAATGTAAATATCTTATTTTCGATTTATATACTAAGTGACATATAAATCCGAACACCCAGTTTAAATGGTTTTATTTTAATAAAAGTTGGTGAATGTATTTATCTTACTGTAAATAACAAGTGAAAAAATTTTCAGCCTTATCAGTTGGACATTCCGGTTTTTATACTGATTTTTTTTTAATTCACTAACGCTCTAAAAATGAATATTTCAGACGCAGTAAAGAATCAACGTTGGCGGATTTTGGTTCTTGACATCCTTTACGATCGGTTACGATGCCTAGAGTACGGAGACCTGTACGATTTAGTGAGTTTGATAGGAGCCGTATAGTGGGACTTCGGGAAGTTGGACTTTCTTTTCGGGCAATTGCAGTTAGAGTGCAAAGAAGTGTAGACACTGTCGTTAGGTGTTGTCAGGCATGGTTTCGAGAAGGCCGTACGCAAAGAGCAAGGGGCACTGGACGCCGCCGTAGAACAACAGACCGTGAAGATCGCCGCCTAAGATTATTGGCCTTAAGGGACCGTTTCTCCACTACCAGGTCCATTGCAAATGAATGGTTTGCAGAACACGGAAGACCTATTGGCATGCGAAGTGTTTACCGACGAATGAGAAGTTTTGGCTTGTTTTCATACCGGCCACACTGGGTCCTCCCTTTAACTCGAGAACACCGACGTAATCGCCTTGAGTGGTGTAGACAACTGTCACTCTGGGATCAGGAATGGAACAGTATTGTTTTTAGTGACGAGTCTCGATTTTGTTTAGGCATGCACGATGGTCGTGCCAGGGTTAGAAGGCGACGTGGTGAAAGGAGGAATCCACAGTTTTTTGTTGAAAGACATGTTCATCACACTGTTTTAGTTATGGTTTGGGGTGCTATAGCTTATGGTCCCAGGTCACCTTTAATCTTCATCAGAGGTAACATGAACGCGCAGCGTTATATCCACGAAGTTCTAGAACCCCATCTTTTACGACCGCATGTTGCAAGAGTCACAACAGACTTCTTTCAACATAATGATGTCACATTGTTACCATGGCCGCCAAGATCTCCCGACTTATCCCCAATTGAGCACGTGTGGGATATGAGGCACTTCGAGAGGAGTTGGTGGTTGTCTGGAATGAGATACCACAGGAGGACATTGACCACCTGATCAGAAGCATGCCTAGGCGTGTTGGAGAATGCGTAGCACATCAGGGTGCATCCACACATTATTAAAGGTCAAAGTGCTTTAAAGCAGTGCAATCATTTTGAAATTTTTATCATTTACTTATTATGCTTCAATAAGTACTTATACAAAATTTTATTAAAATAAAAGCATTTAAACTGGGTGTTCGGATTTATATGTCACTTAGTATATTTTAACAACGCTGAGTCGACAGGCAAGCTTGATGCTGAGGGTCAAGTAATTATTCGATAAACTATCTTGTTATGTTTTTTCGAACAAATCGGGTCAATGTCATCCTGAATATACAGTAATGCTCGAAAATATAAATATGTATAATATAGACGTGGACAATTTTCTGTATAGAACAAACTTCAGTTACAATCGAAGAATCGAGTCATCTGGTTTGTGACCGAGATACCGTTTGTAGCCACAGAAAAGAGTTCACAAATAAAAAAATGATGTTTGGTGCTTTCAAGGTGACATTTCTAAAAATATTTGATCCATATCCGGACAGATATAAAAACAATTTCTCGGATGATTGCAACCACATCGTTGCTACAACTTCTGGGTTTCCTCTTGAAAATCTTCAAATTTGTTCATGACTGTTGAGAAACTTCAGCCTTTGTTTACGAAAATTGTTTATACTCAATAATATTTCCGACGTCTTTAATCTGAAAAATGTTTAGCAAGCCTAGTCTACCTACTTATTCAGACAAAGTCTCTCCCGTCCAACGACTGTTCGCAGCACTTTCGCGAATCGTCGTTAAAAAACGTTTAAGAATTCATCCAGGTGCATCAGCGCTAATTGCTGAGGGATCGCAAATCCTTTGCCTCGGAAACACTGGACCGTGATACAGCGTGGAACCATAGCAAAAGTGTACAGACTCAAGAGGAGTAGAACCACTCATAGGTAGACAAACTTTCTTATTCTAGTTTCAGTATCAAGCACATTGAGCCGTATTCATAAAAGAGAAGCACATCCTCGGAAGCAAAAGGTAAAATTATAAGGTCTTGCTTCCAGTATAAGCATATCCTTGTTTTCAGATTCATAATGATTACCTCATACTCGCGAGGATATCCTCCAAGAAGCAGTAAAAGGTTGACTGGTATTTGTATCTTGAGCGACATGTCTTGACTTGTTCCAGCTTGTAGTTGACGTGGGACTTCGTTCACTCAGCATCACTGACAGTTGTACTCCAAGGCTTACACAGACCGTTCCTCCGTATTTTTAATGGATACAGTTTTTCATCAAATTAATGAGCGTGTCATCCTCAAGTGATGAGGAAACTATAGAAAATAACGGCAACGACCTGCAGTTCATCGCAGATGCAATTGCCATTGCTCCCGTTCTCTGCAGAGATGGACAGAAAGGTCCATCGGGACTGGGAGGGTTAACCCATGCCAATCTTGGCAAAGAAGACAACAGACTCTTTGCTACGATTGAACAGGAACAGCCTCAAAACTCTAGTTGGACTGTACACTGGTCATTGCAAATTGCGTCACCACATGAGCAGGCTGGGCATGGCGGAAGACGCCGAGTGCATACCGAGATGAAACGGTCAGGCATGTATTGTGCAGATGCCCTGCAATTGCTAGAATCAGGTACAACACACCTGGAGACGTAGTACTCCAAGCAGAAGACCTGCAGGATATTTCTCCAAACAAAATGATCGACTACCTCGGGAGGTCGGAGCTACTGGTGAAATATAAATAGGTGTGAGCCACAATAGACCAGAGTCGCAGTGGAGGATCGTTAGTGATGCAGTCACAAGAAACCTAACCTTACCTAACCTATCTTTTTGTTTATACAAGGTATCTCAAAAAAATGGAACACCCTGTATAAGTGTACATCCTTAAACAGCTTCTCTTGAGTACTTTTTATTGATGCACCACGTATCTATACCACTTTTTTAACAGTTTTCCAGCCATTGCCATTGATTCCAAGAACGAAAAATATAGTCCATCTTTCGACTTCAGATATTTCACGAGAAAAATGATTTTTTTTTGCTCTACAAAACTCATCTTGTTATGAAATTGTTGTAATGCATTCCAAGTAGATCGGTTGATTTCCAGATGTTTGATCTCAGGTTCAGTATTTTTCACAACTACGTTGTTTCAGGAACCTGGGGAATAGTCAGATATCGAAAAGGGTTTCAGCACAGGCCACCCTGAATTAAAGGACCCTAAGGGCCGTATCGTCAATCGTTTCTACCATAATTGTAGGACGCCTTCATGGCCTTGATTTTCGTAGTTTTCTACTGTTCCGAATCAGCGCTCTATTTTGAGGTTATGTTAGAAATTTCTATTTGCATCACATCGTTCATGCTTTTGATTTAAATGAAATTTTCTACAATTCAAGAAGAAAACATAGCCCGACAATACGAGCCTCTTCCCACTTCAAGATTTGTACCAAAATATGCCTTTATAAAGTAAACATGACGAAACTATTTACTTCTAAAACAATTTATTTTCTCAAAAACATTTTAGATACACTCTAGTCGTAAAAAATACATATTTTAAATCACTTAGACCTATAACTAATAGAACAAATAAACAATGTGCGAATAAATGCGCGAAGTTAACAAAGCAACAATTGAAAGATTACCATTGGGTAACATCACCTTTATTTTTTATTACGTCTGAAATTCTTTGGGGCATAGTGTTAACCAAGTTTTGTCAAAAATTTTATTATTTGTGTTTGATAAGAAAAAACTAAGATTTCAATAGTTAGGCCAACTGAAGTGGGAAGCGGCTCATATATTTTGCAAGATCGTATCGTATTCATAGCGTTACCTATAATAAAAATGGAAATTCAAATCCTCTTGCCGTTTCTGGGATCCTGATACAGACCTATAGGTTTCTGAAATGCGCACTGTCGACCACAACTTCTTCGTAAAATTGATGGATCGGTGAATTGTTATCAGGAAACATGAGAAGGTACGCAAATTGTACTCTGCTCCTGCTATGAGATATGCACGAAATTCAAATTGATGCAGATCTATAAGTTCCTGGAATTTGCACTGTCGACCTGACTTTTCTCGTAAAATTTGTGGACGGTGACTTGCTATCAGGATCACAAAAACGCGAAGAGGTATATAAATAGTAATGCGCTCGATCTATGACACTCGCGTGAGTTCGGATACTTGGCATCTATGCTCCTCGTCGTTTCTGCAATCCTGATACAGTTCTACAGGTTTCTGAAACTCGCTCTGTCGATCAGGCTTTATTATTATTATTATGATAATTGAGACGAGCAGAGTACACAGTACTATAAGCTCATGCAGTAAATATAGTGTACGGACACGTAACACAAATACATCAAATAGAAAAAAATAAAAAAAGACAGTTCATAGCTATAAAGTTTGTACACTCCTCCAGCTATCGTACTGCACTTTGAAGCTATTAACTGAAGTAGCACCAACCACACTTTCAGGTAAACTATTCCAGGTGTTGAATATGCGGTTGGGAAGAAACCACTGTCGGACTGTTGTTTTAAATGGCTCCTTATGCAGTTTGAAGCTGTGTCCGCGTAGATTGCTGCGCGACAGACGGTATACAGGGTTATCCAAATTAAGTGTCCACCATTAGTAACTTTGTTATTAGTGAAAATACAAAGTTGTTTGAATTAGCAAACTAGTAGCATTTTTAACGCTGGTAAAAATGAGAAATAAAAAAAACAATTGAGAGTCGTTATTTTGATTTTTTTCAGTAAAATAACATTTTTTTAAATGGAAACCCCTGTATATTATATTTTTTTTTGTTAAAGCATCAAATTTTAAACAAAAAAGTTCATAATGACTTTTCCGCTAAAGTCAAAAATAAAGTCAAAATAACGATAAATATTTTTAATTATTTGCAGTATTATAATATTAAGACGGCTATGAAAACAACATGGCGTTCGCGATTTGACAGCATTAAGATAAGCGACAAATTGTTAAACTGGACATACTCGCAACTAGAAGGCTTTGGAAAACAATGATAAAATCAAATAATGTCAAACATTAGTGTAAATACTTGTTTATAAGCTTTATTGTGTCATTAATTTAAAGAAAAATGTTCTCCCATGAAGAAAAGTGTGATATGTTAGAATGCTATTTAGTGTGCAGAAAATCCTCCTTGAGAGCAAGAGAATACTACAGTGAATTGTATCCCGCTCGCATTCAACCGTATGAACGATATTTTCTGAGACTTCATCGAAAATTTAGGGGCAACGAAAATGTTTTTGCTAAAACAAGGGCAAAAAAAGAATTCATAATAAGCGAGGCCACGGAAATTGCAGTTATTGGATATTTTGAAGCTTATCGTGAGAATTCAATAGCAGATATTCTCAAGGAGTCTAATTTCAGTTATGGTACTGTTCAAAGGATTTTAAAAAAATACAAATTTATTCCGTATAAGTACCGACCAGTTCAAACGCTTTTGGCAGGGGATCCAGAGAGAAGACTTGTTTTTTGCCATTGGTATCTTAGCTTCTGTCGCCAAAATGTAAATAACTTTCGTTACCTTTTATGGACAGATGAATCAAATTTTTCAAATTCTGGAATGTTTAATAGAAAAAACCACCATTATTGGTCAAGAGAAAATCTTTTGTTAGTACATCCAAGAGGCCCACAAGTCCGTTTCAGTTTCAACGTTTGGTGCGGTATAATTGGTTCAAAAATTGTTGGCCCGTTCTTTTATGAGGGAACCCTAACTGGTGAAAGATATGTGGAATTTATGTCAGAAATTCTGACTAATTTCTTAGACGAATTGGATCTTATAAGTAGACATCATCTGCATTTTCAGCAAGATGGCGCACCTGCCCACAACTCCAGAGGTACTTATCATTTTCTAAGTACTACTTTTAATGATCAGTGGATAGGAACAAATGGCCCAATACAGTGGCCTCCCAGATCACCAGATCTAAACCCACTTGATTACTTCTTGTGGGGTTACTTAAAGAACCAAATTTACAAGCGAAGGTACGATAACCTTGACGCGTTAAAGACTGCAGTTAGGGAAAAGATAACCCAGATAGATGGTAGGACCATACTTAAGACAGTTCGAGCAGTTGAAAAACGTGCCCAAAAATGTATTGAAGAACAAGGTGGTGTTTTCGAGCATCTTCTTTAAAAAAATTGTTATTGTATTTTGTAAGATTATAAGTTGATGTTGAAAATAAAGTTTGTCGATACAATTTAATTGTTTCAGATTGGAGGCCATAACTTCAACAATTTGTAACCTAGGAGAAAAGTTATTGTAAGCTTTTTTGTTTAAAATTTGATGCTTTAACAGAAAAAAATATAATATACAGGGGTTTCCATTTAAAAAAATGTTATTTTACTGAAAAAAATCAAAATAACGACTCTCAATTGTTTTTTTTTATTTCTCATTTTTACCAGCGTTAAAAATGCTACTAGTTTGCTAATTCAAACAACTTTGTATTTTCACTAATAACAAAGTTACTAATGGTGGACACTTAATTTGGATAACCCTGTAGATGCATGAGGTTGGTGCCCATCAAACCATGAAGTATCCTGAACGTAACTATAAGATCGCCACGAAGTCTTCGCTCAGGGAATGAGGTCAGGTTGAATAATTCAAGGCGATCTTCATAGCTTGGTCTTCGTGCTCCAAAAGGGATACGAGAAGCCCGACGCTGTACTGATTCGACGAGATTTCTATCGCGCAGAAGCACAGTGTCCCATACCGGGCCAGCGAATTCAAGAATTGGCCTCACGAATGCCTTGTAAATGTAGGCGCAAGTGTTTACATCGGATCCTTTGAAAGACCTCTCCAGCATGTATAGAAGTTTCTGGGCTTTTGATGTAACGTGGTGAATATGCTCTGACCAGGAAAGACGATCGTTGACTACAACGCCCAGATCAGTGTGGCTGGAAACTGCTTCGATGTTGTGGTCAGAGATCTTGTATGTAAATCGCGGATTTGTCTTCCCGATGTGAAGGACACAACACTTAGTTAGATTTAAGGGTAAAAGCCAACTGACTGACCATTGACAAACAATATCAAGATCTCGTTGAAGCATAGCAGAATTTACGACAGTATTGTAAATCTTGGTGTCGTCGGCATAAGCTGAACATGTGGAGGAAATCAATGCGGGCAGGTCACTTGTATACAGAAGGAACAGCACTGGCCCCAAGACAGAGCCTTGAGGAACTCCACTTGCTACATGATGAAGGTGAGACTGGCTACAGCTGACGCGCACAGAGAAAGTCCTCCCGGTGAGAAAAGCCTTAATCCACAGTAACAACTCGCCTCTTATTCCCATACATTCCAACTTAAATAGAAGCCTTCTATGTGGTACGCGATCGAAAGCCCTAGAAAAATCTAAGTAGATTATATCACCAGGAGTCTTT